GCTGCTGAGGCAGGGAGAGCATCTTCACACAGCACCGAGCTTTACCAGAGGATTTATCCAAACACACACAACAACACACACAATATGCTCCTGCAGCGCGAGGACAGCTTCATGTCGGACTTTGAGGATGCCTGCAGCATGTGGGTGGACAGTGTGGGCTCGAGCCCCAACAGAGACTCTGAGGGGGGGTCCCCAATCTGCCAAGGTGCGTTAAGACAATTAGAGAATAATGAGAAAATGTACAAAATGTGTCTGTTTAGGAAATGCCTGTTTATTAGTGAAAATGTGGATATTTAGCATTATTACATTTTGCATTCATATTATTATTTGAATTAAATATACCACTTTATATATTATTTACCTTATTTGCATATTTAAATGTATTGCTTTTATTTTGGTGCACATTTTTACAAATCATGCCTATTTAAAAAAAAATAGAGCAATAGAACTTGTATTTTATTATTTGAAAGTATTCATAATGCATCCTGCTGCATGCATCACTGTGTAGGCTGCTGCCCACTGACAAGTTATTATGCAATGACAATAACACCCTCCTCCTCCTCCTCCTCCTCCTGCAGTTTTCTCTCCGGGAACAGACGCCTCTGACTCAGATTTCTTCTCCGACTTCAGTGACTGTTCCTCGGACTCCCTCTCGCCTTCCCTCGGCTACAGCAGCAGCTTCTTCCCGGATCCAGAGGCGCAATCCCCGGGACTGAGCAGCACCGCGGACGCCATCCTCAACATGATCACGGAGATCGTGGGGATCTGCACCGAAATGGAGCAAGACTCTTCCCCGGATCTTGCAGCCCCTTCCCCGGCTGAAGCATCTCCTTCCTCCCCCCTCTTTGCTCCATCACCATCACCATCTTCTTCCTCTGCCCCCCCCAGCAGAGAAGCGACCCCCCCTCTCCCTCCCATGGTTTCCCACCCAGTTGTGGTGAAAAGTGAGTTTTTGAGCTCCAGCTGCAGCAGCGGGTGTTCCCACTCTTCCATGCCCGGGAATGACGCTCTGTTCCTGGGCAGCGCGGACTCTCTGCTCCCGCTGTCGGCTCTGGAGCAACAGGTGGATGTTTGTGACTTTATCGACTCTCTGCTGAGCTGTGACGCCGGGCAGAGCGACCTGAAGCCCGGCTTCGAGGTGAAGCAGGAGCCGCTGGAGGACTGGCTGAAGGGGTTCCCGGTGACCGGGGGGGATCCCGGTAACTACGTCATCAGCAGACCGGTGAAGACGGAGCTGTTCTCCCCCCCCACGCTCCCCTCCACCGTGGACGCGCATCTGCTCTCCTCCCTTCTGCAGGGCGCGTTCCCGATAGTCAACATCAGCAGCATGCACGCAGCCCCCAAACAGTCACGCGCAGGGAGGAGAGCTCCCGCGCAGAAGGCGAAACCCTTCACGTGCACGATGCACGGATGCGAGCGCCGCTTCTCGCGCTCAGACGAGCTCAACAGGCACGTGCGCATCCACACTGGACAGAAACCCTTCACGTGCACCATCTGCTCGCGCAGCTTCAGCCGCAGCGACCACCTGACCACGCACACGCGCACGCACACGGGGGAGAAGCCCTTTTCGTGCGACGTGTGCGGCAAGAGGTTCGCGCGCAGCGACGAGCGGAAGAGGCATGGGCGCGTGCACGTGAAGCAGCAGCTGCGTGCGCAGATGATGGCCGCCTACTCGCTGGCCGTGAACGCGCCTGGCGTCTGAACATGAACTAATTATTACTGCAGAGAGCAGTATGTTTGAACCGTCAACTGGAAAAAGCGTCGATGTGACGTCACACAGGTGTTCCTCTCACGGCGCATGCGTGCAGGAGGAAGCATCTGCAGGTGGAAAAACTACAGACTGAGGACTTTAAACATGTGGAGAGTAACTAAGTACATTTACTCAAGTACTTTTACTTAAGTGTGAGGTACTCGTACTTTACTTGAGTATTTCCATGTGTTGTTACCTTGTACTTCTACTCACTTAAATTAGACTTGAATTCCACCTGGAGTAAATCCACAAGCTACCCTGCAGTATACAAAGTCATTCAAACTAGCTGCACCTTTACCAGCTTTGAGAACACTTTAATGATCAATCATTATAAAACATATATATATATTATTCTGAAATGGACCAATCTGCACAACGACTACCTTTGGTACTTTAACTAGATTTTGATGAGAATACTTTTCTACTTTTACTTGAGCAACATTTTGATTGCAGTACTTTTAGATCTGAGTACTTCTACTTTTACTAAAGTACATGATCCGAGTACTTCTACTAAAGTACATGATCCGAGTACTTCTACTTCTACTAAAGTACATGATCCGAGTACTTCTACTTCTACTAAAGTACATGATCCGAGTACTTCTACTTCTACTAAAGTACATGCTCCGAGAAACCGTCCGTCTGTAAATATTTCTGCATGACAACAAAGTGAATGTCCGGATGTCGTGAAGCTGTTTCCACTCAGAAGATATTTCTATGTTTGTAACACATCTCTATTTTTCTAGTTTGTCTACCTCTTTGTGAGTGTTTTACATGGAGAGAGTATATGTATATATTTACAGTATATATATATATACAGTATATATATTTATAGGAGAACACAAAGCCAGATTTCTATGGCGGATTATTGTGCGATGATGTCACTTTTTTCTATGAAATGAGTCTTCATTCTGGTGTTGAAGCACATTGCTCTATAGCACACCTGTGCAGGTTTCATGTTCATGGTTTCATCGTTCTGCATGGAGGCTGCTGCTGTCAATAAATGAGTATCAGATACACACGGTGTCTTCACTCTGCACACACACCAACACACGGTGTCTTCACCCTGCACACACACCAACACACACATTATCACTCTGCACACACACCAACACACACATTATCACTCTGCACACACACCAACACACGGTGTCTTCACTCTGCACACACACCAACACACACATTATCACTCTGCACACACACCAACACACACATTATCACTCTGCACACACACCAACACACACATTATCACTCTGCACACACACCAACACACGGTGTCTTCACTCTGCACACACACCAACACACACATTATCACTCTGCACACACACCAACACACACATTATCACTCTGCACACACACCAACACACACATTATCACTCTGCACACACACCAACACACACATTATCACTCTGCACACACACCAACACACACATTATCACTCTGCACACACACCAACACACACATTATCACTCTGCACACACACCAACACACACATTATCACTCTGCACACACACCAACACACACATTATCAATCTGCACACACACCAACACACACATAATGTAAGCCTAAAGGGCTTGTATTTATCTTCCTCCTCCTCCTCCTCTTCCTCCTCCTCCTCCTCCTCCTCCTCCTCCTCTTCATCACTTCATTGCTAGGCAACAGATGTTTCCCATAATAGTCCCTGTCGCTCTGACAAGCCGAAGGTCGCGTTGCCGTGGAAACAGCAGCATAAAACCTAACGAGAGATTTTTCATATTTTCACACGAGCTGATGTGAGTCATCTCGACATCCCATAATACTCTGCTTCATGTTCATCATGAGATATCACCTCCACGATGATTATTCACAGTGAGGATTTCATATGACGACTGCCGACGGCCTAATGTCACTCAATTAGACATGTAGCAACCAGGAAGTGAGTTACAAAGACTACAGAGAGACTTAGAAGGACTACAACATATGCAAAACAGCTGCAACGAGACTACAAACGACTAAACAGCCGTGAAAAGGAGCAAAACCTCCAAAAATGAACGCACGTATACAACCAAGAGACTGAAAACGGCCTCAAAGAGACACAAAAAGACTTGAAGGAGACTTAAAGACTACAAAACAACACAGAAAGACTACAAACAGAAACAAAATGACTACTATAGACCTTTATATATACAGTCTATGCTATAGACACAAAAAGACTACAAAACAACACAAAAAGACTACAAGACACACAAAAAGACTACAAGAGACACAAAATGACTACAAAGAGACCAATCACACAGCTAAGAAGACTGTGACACACACATGCAAACAACTGTGAGCTCTGAGCTATCTGTCAACCCTCAAACACATCATCATTTACTCTTAAAGAACATCAGAATTAGAGCTGAAGTGTGTATTTACTGATATCAAGCACACACTCTTCTCTGCGGGCTCTGCTGCCCCCCAGTGGTCTCCAGGCAGAACTACACCTCCTCCAACTTTATGTACTTTTACTAACTTTAATTAATACTCGTACTTTCTGAATGCAGGAGTACTAGAATATACTGAGTACTGCTCATTTAAATATATATTCATTCAAGAAGGAGTAAATAATATTATGGCGCATTTCCATTGCAGCGCGTAGCTCGCTTTAAGCGTGCCGTGTCGTGCCGTCCCCTTTTTTGGTTGTGCTTCCACTAGGCCTCGTTCCGGCGCGGCACGGCGCGGGGCCACTTTTTCCCCTCTTTTCTGGCCCTAGAAAATTGTGGTTCTATCGGGGCCAACAAACAGGGCTGAGTCGGGCTGAGTATGCTAAACTAGAGAGAGGAGCGCTGGCAAGAGGGCTAGAACTACAACAAGATGGACATATTTGACCGTGATTTAATTGTAATACACGTTTCAAAATGATGCCGAAGTAACAACATACTGATACCGGTTAGTAAAAACCATGAATTAATGCTTTGTCAAGTCTGCAGACAGACGGCAGGGGAAAAAACCTTTTAAAATGCGTGTTTTTCTAGATGGAGATTGGCTAAGCTAACGCAGTATATGCCCCGACCGTCCACACTCACAACAACGGCCTATACAGACATAAATAAAGCAGCGACTGTATTCTCCATGACACAGGCAGTCTGTGGTTTGTACTTGTTTAACTTTTGTCTAGTTTCTGAACATATATAAGGAGCTGTGAGCTTGAGTGCTAACAGCTAATGGCTGTGTTGTGTTTCTGGATTTCTCATTGAAGATGACGTCACGGCTCCGCCTACACTGCGTTAC